GGTAGGTAAAGGAATATCATTTCAGATTTCCTTTTAGCTTCTCTTGCCCTTTAGCCTAGAAGCTTGGATAGTAAAAGAGGTTAACATTTTTGAAGCAGTTCTACCACACACAGTTATTTCAATGCCATTCTCTGGTGTTGTGTCTGAAAAACGGGTGGCCGAGCCCACTGCCCGCAGCGCCAGACTTTCAGCCGGATCCACCCCTGGGCAAAGTCATCAGAGGGAAAAGATTCAGCTTCCAAACTTGATTAAAAACAGCCTAACAGTCTCTGCCACGCTACAGAACTGTGAGACTTGGGAAGCTGAGTAAACTGCCTAGGAGAGGTGGTGGCTGAGGTCTAGATCCTGTTCAGCTGGTTAGTGAGAGAAGCTAAACAAGAAAAAAAAAATGCAGTGGATAGTGAACTGCAGAAGGACAACTTGACCTCAGATTTGACATCGACTTTATCCAATTTAGGTGCTGACAAAGAGTGATTCTACCTGGTAATTGTTCACCTTCATTTGAAGGGAAAAAGAAAACACATGCACCTACTGAGATGCTGGGGAAATGTTAACTTGTTTCTGAAATATGTACCCCCCCCTTTTTTTTAACTTCCTTTTGGCAAATACTTCAAAATATCCTTCTCCCCCTGAAGTTATATTCTGGGAGACACAATTAAAAGAAAAATATCAAGATGGGAAACTGAACCAGAAATGAGGAGCGTGTGGGTTGATGAATAAAATAGATGCCTCTCAGCATCATCTTAAGGATCTGTTGTCTTTGTTGTTTTTAACATGTGACATTTTTACAGAGAAAAACTAAAGACATCCAAATAGGAGTCCAAACATGAAGAGAAGATGGAGGTTTCCTGATGTGTTTCAATACTAAAATGAAAGTTGTGTCTGTAGGTGCCTGTGTGTTCTCCTCGGATTTGAAATTTTATTCCAGAAAGTGGTGCAATTTGTTAGCTTTTTTTTTTTTTTTTTTTTTTTGTGGGCACCGGAGGAGGAAAATATGATACATTTGGGGATTTTTTCAGTAAAGCTGTGTTTAGTTTTAATTTTCCTGTATTTTAAAATAAACACTTTGACCAAAGCATGTTTGATCTCTGCAAGAAGGAAATATACATTGTGAAGGAATGTGCAGCAGTTGGGTATGAAAATGGGGTTGTGACTCACAGCTGCAAGCAGAAAAAAAAAAGGCGTCGTAGTGTCAGCCAGAGGTGTTCAGTCTAATAATTCAAGCTGTAAACTGTATCCCCTAAAATTACCTACATAATAAATCATTGTGTGAAGGAAAAAAAGTTTGGACTGAAAAGTGTAAGTGAAACAGAATCCTCAGGAGACTTCAATGCTGGGACCTATTGGCAATGATGTGAAATATGGGTTTAGTTTGTCGAAAACTTTGAGAATCAGAATAACACTGGAGATTATTCTAGTGTAGCTAATTTTTTTTTCTTTTTGTCTTCATTTTCAACACATTTCTACATAGTCCGTTATAGAAATGGGCTTGCACTTTTTTTTCATCGCCTAATCACACAGCTGAAGCTGCTTTATGGGATTTCCAGTCAATTTATACAGCTTCAGGAGAAAATTCAAAAACGGCTTTATTTTCAGAGAAAAAAAAAGTCTAAGTTATCAAATACATATCAAGAAAAGAGGCAGAAATCTCTGGAAATTACCTGAGGTTCCCATCTCAGATTTCACTATTGCTTATAGGTACTAAAGAAAAGTACTACTTTTATGTAATCTGGTCAACTCACTTGCCTAGGAATTCACTACTAGATTGAAACAGACGCTGTGGCTGGCAAAGCCAGTGTCAAATCCTGGAGACTTGAGAAAAGGAAACTTTGGTGGTGGAAGGCACAGGTTAAAATGGGGCTCAGTGCCTGGAGAAAAGATGCAACTGTCAAGAGGAAGTTTAAAGGCCAAGGACACACGAAGTCTCTGAAACAATGAGGGTGAGGAAGTCAAGAAGCAGGCTCACCAAAACCACACTGAAACAATTTCTTTTATAGGCTCCTCTACATTTCCAGAATTAGCGAGCAGCAGAAGCCCCACCCTGGGAACCCGAGCTGTGGGCCCTTGCACACCGGCCCTGCGAGAGGGAAAAAAAGTCAAGTTGACACGGGTCTCTCGCCTGGGCGATTCAAATGAAAATATAAGGAGGAGGGCGGAGAGAGAAGGAGACAAAATGAAGCTCGGAAAGACCTACTCGAAGTCTGCAATAAAGATTAACTGGGGGGGGGGGACGACGACGAAGTCCAGAGCAATTAAAACTCCTACCCCGGCTCATTAGTATTCATGACCGAATGTCCAGCTTTTCTGTTTATCTTTCTCCCAGGATCAATATCCGAGCAGCGTGGGCCTGGGAGGAGCCCAAGCCCGGCCCTGCGAGCGCCTGACCTTTCGCGCCCTCCATACAGGTCAGAGCATCTTCAGAACCTCCCGGCCAGCGCCGCGCCCCTGCTCATTAAAGCCACCATTCATCTGCCAGCGACGAGCAGGAGGGGGGACAGGCCCGGGGGGGGGGGGGGGGGGGTGGCAGGGAGCAGTGGGCAAACAGATCCAACCGACTCCAAAGAGTTTAGAGAAACCACAGCCGGCCGCACCAACCACCACGGGCCCAGTGGGCCAGGAGTAAGAAAAGAAAACCAACGAGCCGGCTCTGCAGCAGGAATCCCAGCGCCGCTCCCGGCCAGGCCCTTGCAGGCTCGGACTGGTTCCAGACCCCACATTTTGTTGGGGGAGGGGGGCAACACAAGAGCCTTCTTCGAAGTGACCCCCCCCCTCCCAAAGAGAACCCCAGGCCGGTCCCAGCCCAACAGCGGTCTGGAGCCTCACCAGGCTTCTGCCGACGTCCTGGGAGCATCTCAGTGTCAGAGCCTTAGCCACAACTATTATCTTTGAAATTATTATTATTTTATTATTTCTACACCCCCTTCCACCTTCTCTAGGGGCGCTTGCGCGCCAATCTGTTCCCCAGAACCACCGGCTTGGCCTCAGGGATAGGGGAAAAAAGAAAAACTGGCTTCAGAGGTTCGGAAAAGAGAGGACTGAGGCAGAGGTTGAAGAAGTGAGGTGTGTGAGTGTGGGGTAAAGTCAGCTCCCCCTGGTTTAACTGAGAGATGCCGGGGCGCCCCCCCCCTCAACAACGCACACCCGGGGGTCAGAAGGCAGGCGGGACCCTGTCGCCCATCACATTCCCAGGGGATTGGGCCCGAGGGACCCGGACTGCGGGCAGCTCCCACCCAACTTAGTGTTAGGCTGGAAGCTTGAGGAGGGGGCCTCGGGGCCTGGCAGGCCGGGGCCCCTCGGAGAGAGGCTGGAGGAGGCGGGGGGAGGGGAGCCAGGAGTGCCCCGAGGGGCGAAAGCATCCATTGCGGGGCTCCTCAGACCACCTGCCCCAAATCTCCGTGACTCATCGCGGTCACGCGAGCCCCGCAGTGGGGGCTGCGGGGATGTCAGAGGAGGGCTGTGTGTGTGTGTGTGTGTGTGTGTGTGTGTGTGAGACTCTGTGTGCACGCACGCGAGGGAAGGGGCGCCCCCCCCCCAGCTCCATCCTGGCAGCTGTGCCCAACCTCATCCCAACTGAGGGGCTGGCGAGATGCGGGATGAGGGCAAGACGCAGGAGGTGTCAGCTCAGCAAAGGCTCGTCGACCCCTGGGAACAAAAAACGGAAACTTGCGAGGGCAAAGAGGGGGCCCCAGCACCGACCTTTCCCCGACTGGGCCCTGCGGGGGCGGGGCGGGAGGGGGAGGACCTGAGCCCCCGGGTACCCCGCCCGAGATCTTGGCTGTGGCCGCGCAGGGGCGGGGCGGGGCGTGGACGCTGCGGCCCCAGTCGCCCCACCACCTTCACCGTGAACTCGAACCCTCGGGCTGCCGGGGTTCTGGTTTGCAGAAGCTCTCGTTGATAACACCCCGTTCAGATTGCCCAGCGCTGCCTTTTCGTTCTCAGGAGCCCAGCTGGACGGGCGTGAGGGTTTATGCCAGATCCCCCGATTCAGTCTGGAAGGGTCTAGATTCTTCCCTAAAAAAAAAAACCCAGCAACAATCTGTTGGAGGTTGGGGTGGAGGAGGGTAGAAAAGAGGGAGACATTTCTCAGGCCCTGTTCTGAGCTGCCAGTTAAAAATAGAAACCATTCATTGCGGTCTGCTGGGGGTAGCTGTGGGCCCAGGCGCTCCAAGTTCCCGCGGAACACGAGCGATACCAAACTCTGATCCATCACTCGGCAAGTATTTATTGAACGCCTACTTTGGATCTCGAGGGTCGCTTTCCGGGGCACGTGTCCCTTAAAGTGAAAATGCATCCCATGGTTCGACCGGAGTCTTGGCGGGGTGTTATTCTGAGGCCTTTATTTCCCAGCTCTTGGACGCAGGCCTAGCGTTCCCTTTGGGTTATTTACGCGGCGTGATGGGGTTGGGGGTTTAGGACCCAAGTCCCTAGTGAGAGGAACTCGGTGGGTCCCCTCGGGTCCCGCTGTGCCACAGGCGGCGCTCATCAAGCACCACCAGAACCCCTTCCCAATGCCAGGCCCGCCGACCCGGGAGGACCACGGGTCGCCTGGAAAGCCCGGGGCCTCCTAGCCCACCCCAGGTCTCGGGAGGACAGCAGGGAGCCCAGGGAAACCCGAATCTCCGGTCCAGCCTAGGATTTGCCCTTGATCTCAGTTTTGGGCGGAAAATACACACGCCACTTGAGACTGAAAACATCCGTCCGAGAAAGAGACAAAGGGACCGGGTGGGGGCGGAAGGGGGGAGGAAGAGAGAAGGTGCCACTGAGAAAGGAAAGCGGGGCGCGGACAGCGTGGGACGGAGTCTGCTGGACCTGTGACCTGCTTCCTTCTGGCCGGAGAAGACCCGACCCGGGCCTTTCCCCACCCCACCCCCCCGGCCGCCCAGCACCGACCTCCCCCGCAGCCACCGGAGCTTGATGTCCCATCACTGAACCAGGAGATACAGATGCCGAGATGCCAGTTATCACTGCAGTCGTTAATAATGCAGTGAGAATCACGATAATTAATAATAATAACGATGGGTTTCTCCCGAGGGGGCTGCAGCTGTCTTCAGATAAAGCGAGTCTCGCGCGGCGAGGAGTTTTACTCGGTGGTGGTGGATGGAGCGCTGCCGCAAGGGAGCGAGTTTGGGAGATCTAAAGTTCAAGTTGACGGCGTTGACTCGCAGAAACGTGTCCCCCACCCCACCCCAGCCCCTGACCCGGTCCCTGCGGGCAGCGAGCCACGGGTGCAGCTCTGGTTCCCCTGAGGGGACGCAGAGACTGGGCTCCGTTCGGTGGTTCCGGAGGCCAGGCGAGGGCAGGTTAGATTCGGGTCCGTTTAGGCAGGGGAGGGGTGAGGGCGCCTGCACCCCTCCTCCACCCCAAACCCAGGTACCTCGGGGACATGCAGGATCTTGGGCGGCCTGCCCCCGGCGCCCATCTCTGATGCTCTCACACCCTGAGTATCCCTCTCCCCCATCCAGTGTCCGGGACGCGTAGGGCCGACGTGAAAGGCCGAGACCCGGTCCCACCGTAAGGTCTGACTTGTCTGGACAGAGCGGTGGGACGCAAGGGCTGGAGAACCGAGGGATGTTTCGTTGGAAAGCCGCCCCTCTCCGCCCCTCACATCCTAAGATGGACCAGGAGACCAATCCCGGGCTGTGGTCCTCCTTGGGGCCAGGCCCCTTCCCAGTTTTATTTCCTTTTGACAACCAGCATCAGTGCCCCCAGAACCAAAAGGCCGCCGGTAGCTCTCCGACCTCAGCTCTGGAAAGTGATCCGGTCAACGCAAAGCTGGGAGACTGTCCTCTTCTCCGGCCTTCCTTCTTCCCCCAAAGGGGAAAATCCAAGGCCTCAAGTTGATACTTTAAAAAAAAAAAAAAGCACCATTCCACCAACCTTCTCCTTAGGTTTGGGAGGTGTCTCAAAGCCAATAATTCCCACCAAAAAAAAAAAAAAAAAAAGCCTAAAACATTAAAACATCTAAAATCGACCATCTCATTCTTGCACAAGTTATGATGAATATTTAATCTGATTCGTGCGCCCCCTCCCCCAGGGATAGGGGCATTGAAAAAACTACACAGCTTACAATGTGTTCAATGAAATCTCCCAAGGATCAGTAACATATGCCAATTATTTTAATAATTTTCCTTAATATTATTAGAGGTTATAAATTTGATTTTAATAGGGGGTTGATTTCTTCAGGACCTGGCGCGTAAGCAGTTTGCTAGGCCACTGTGGAGGGCTAGCCTGGTGGCCACTGTCGCCCTCCAGGACACACACACACCCAGGCTACCATCTTTCCTTCCCTATTTAATAGGTAGCATGGCCTCTGGGAGGTCGGAGTTGCCCTTCTCCCTAAGCAGCCCTTCAGCCTCCCCGGCCTGTCCCCGCGGCTAAGCCCAGGGCCAGAGCAGGAGAGGCGGCCCATCACCAGCAGCAGAAGCTTCAGACAGCAGAGCCCTGCTCACCGCTAGGTGATCCTCTGGGGGTGTTGCCGCCCCCTCCACCCACCAAGCGTTTTCACCACTGGGTGGTGACTCTGGGCCTGCCAGGGCCTCTCTGAGCAACACGGATCCCCAGGAAGATGGAAATGTCCTGAAGCCTCGGGGATTTCAAAAAGAAATGACTCCACTCCTATCCTTTGACTCTGAATGTTATTTTTGCCTTCTCCCTTAGAGCATCTTGTTTGAAAACTCTTGTGAAACTCTTGCAGGGGAGGGGAGTGAGGCTGCAAACCTTAGAGAAAAGCTGGTGGTTGGTCCTGTTGCCTCACTCACTTCCACCTGGCCGTTTCCATCTCTGCAGCTTATTCTGTTTGATTTCACGGAATTCTTGAAGAAGTTCTCTTTTATTGGGGGCCGATGGTTGGTGGGGGCCGATGGTTGGTGGTTTTCCTAAATCAAAGTGTAGTCTATTTGTCACCTTCCTCCCTTGAACATCACACTTATGGGTGAGCAGTAGCTGGGCAGATAAGCAGGATGCCTTGAGCAAGCTGTTTAAAATTTCAAGGAAGGGGAAAAAAAAAAAACTTTTAGTAGAAAGGGGCCCTTAAACTATAATCATCATTGAACCAAGTTCAAAAACAAAGGACTCAGCTCAGTTTTAAACGTGCAATTAAAAATAACTGTACCTCAGCTTTTCAGAGGGAGGGAGAGGAAAGGGGGCAGGGAAGACAGAAAACAAAGAATAAGGAAATGGTTAGCGCTCTTCAATCCAGTCCAAACAGCCGAAAGAAAGGCACCGCCTCAGATAATGGAGCCATTAGAAGCTCCAAAGGCTCCTGCAGGCCGGTCCTCGCAGGGGCTTTCCAAAAATGTAATTCACTCTCAGCTACAGAAACAAAGGACATACAAAATAATTTTGAGATTTTCTGCCAGAGGGGCAGTTTGGCCCAGTTTCTCGGCATACACCTTCCCCCCTGAATTCGAGGTTGGTGCCTCCCATTCAATCAGGCAGCTGACCCAGACCCCTATCAGCCCTCCGCTGCCTCCTGCCCATTTCCTTGAATGACTTGGCTAAAAAAAAAAAAAAAATTATGTTCATGCAGTTTCAACACATTTTATTATATTTCTGTATGCATTACTCTCAAAACATATCACAAGAAATGATCAAACCACTTAAAACCTTCAAATAAAAAATCTGAAACAGTTTATGCCCACAATTGTACATATTTATAGTTAAGAAACATTCTTTATAAATATTGTTTCCTCTGTAGCAAGTTAATACCATAATTTAATTACAAATGGATAAATATGGTAACGGGTATTTACAGAAGGAAGGGTGTTATTACGGAAAAAGCTAACGGCACGACGTTTACTCCCCCCCCTCCCCACAATCTTTCATACAGGAACTAACAAATTGAACTTGCAAAAGCACTAAAACATCACATGTAAACCCAGCTAACAGAAAAATACATTCACAAGCGTTGGTGGTGGTGATGTGGATGTGAGTGCTGTGGATCTGCGTGTTGAAGAAACAGAAGGGAGACTTTGGCACGGCTTTGTTTTTTTTTTTTTTTCTTTCCAGTCTATAGTTGCATGAAGTTTACAATCAAGTTGCCTCATAAAAAGGAACACAATATTCAATACCACAATACAAAAGAAACCATTTTCTTCCACATTACTTAAAAAGAAACCGGGGAAACTAAAAAGAGAAAAAGAAAAAAGCCCATCACTTGGGGAAAGGAAGGGAAGAGAGGCAGGAGGAACAAAATCCCGGAGAATTACAAATGGACAAACTTCTATACACCAAGAAGCCATTAAAACCACCTCGGAGAAGAAAGGAGTCCGCTATGTACACAGCTTGTCAGAAGACTGGGAAAGGCGTGGGGAGGGAAGGGGGCGTGGAGGGAGGCAAAGGGGAGGTTTGTCGCCGCCGCCGCAGCCGCCGCCGGGGACAGGGTGGAACTGCTCTGGGGCTCGGCGCTGGGCGACACCAGCCCCGGGGGCGTGGACGACTCGTAGCCGGAGCTGGCGGCCGGGGAGGACTCGGAGCCCTGCGGGGAGGACTCATGGACCTGTGAGACAGAAGCCGGGAGGGGAGAGCGAAGGGGGCTGGGTGTGAGTGTAGCTGCTGCGGCGCCGGGCCGCCCCGGCCCTCCCCGGGGCCCGCGGGCACCCCCGGCCTCCCCCGCCACCCCGCGGCCGGCGTCGAGCCCGGCCGCCTCGCCCTCCTCGCGCCTGCCCGGCGGTACCTTCATGTGCTTCCGCAGGGAGCTGGGGTGCGTGTACGACTTGTCACACATCTTGCACAGGTAGGGCTTATCCGAGGTGTGCACGTGCATGTGCTTCTTCCTGTCGCTGCTGTTGGCGAAGCGCCGGTCACAGCCCTCGAACTCACACTGGAACGGCTTCTCCCCTGTGAACACGAGCACGCGCGCTGGCTGCCGGCGCGCCCGGAGACCCCCGCCGCCACCCCCGCGCCCCCGGGAACCCTCACCTCCCACCCCACCCCTCGGCCTGGAAGGGGACCAGGCCTCCGGGAGGAAGAAAGAGGGGCGAAAGGGCCTGGGGCTCCTTGCGCCTTCCCACCTGACCGCCGTGCTTCTATTTCCTATTTTACTTTTCTTCCAGGCTGACTCGCGTTTCCTCACATCTCTGACCAAGTTGGGGTAGCCCCCACCCCCTCAACCCCAGCCCTGCCTGACTGCTTTTCTTACAGGGCTTCTTGGACTCGCGGCTTCTAACAAGTTGGTCTCGCCATGGAGAAGCTGTTATTATGACAAAATATTTGGGGCATTATCAGAATCACACAGGCTGCTGTCGGCTTCTCTCTGGGGCCAGTAGGCAATTACATTTGGAGATGCTGTGTGTTGTTTGGGGACCGTACTGTGGATAGCGACTGAGCCAGCAATTTTTTTTTTTTTCCATCCAAAATTCTGCAAATTGAATTAACCAGTAATTCTCGGTCGTACTCCCAGCCTTTTAAAGACAAGTTGGGGGCAAGAGATAAGTATGAGATAAGGCAGCACTTGGGAGAGATTGCAGAGAGGCGCAGGCTGGGCCGTGGGGGTGGGGGGGATCAGCCAAGGCTTTCAGAATCTCCGTTTGAATTTTCTGGCGGTCCCCGCATCCTGTTGCCAGAATTCCAAATGCTTGGAGTCATTTAGAGGTGTGAGAACTCCAACACTGTTCCACTAGGAGAGGGGACCATTTAACGTTAAATTCCATTAGCACCTAAATTGTTTCTTAAAGACATCCGCTCAGACGCAGGACTCGAAAGCGAGCATTTCATGCAAATAAATTTCTCAAATTTTAAACCTTGTTAAAAGCTTGTCTCGCACCTCCGCTGCCTCCCTTCCCGGAAGAGAACAATAGGCCGCTGGCGCACCCCCACTTCGGGGTAAATATTGACGGGGGAAGTTGCTAAAACATTTGGCTTTCTTTTAGGAAATCGTCTGGCACGATTTTGGCTGGGACCTGGTCATAGATGAATAATCTATGAGGCGAGAGGCGCGTTCTTTCTCGGCGCTCTCTTCTCACGCGATTGCCCCGCGGGGCCGCACCGCCCCGGGCTCTCGTTGACCCGGCTGTCGGTCCAAGTTTGGAATCGCAAACCCTCTGGTGCCCCTTAAGAGAATTTCACAGACTACTGCGAACCCACCGTAAAGCTCCGCGACCCACCTCGAGATGGGCTTTAAAAACACTTTTAAAAAAACGAGAAACACTTTACAGCTTCGGCTCACACCAGACTCATTTTTTAATGGGAAACAGTCCGGGTAAGGACGTTTGGGCCCGTAGTTTTAAAAAAAAAGTGGAAAAACACACAAGCCACTCAAAACGCAGACGCACACCCGGAGCAGAAAAGCACATCCAGACAAGCTGGCAAAATCCTCTCTAGGCTCGATTCCCGGGCACCGAGTTGGAGGGTACTTTTATTTTCTGCGTTCTGTTTAGAACGGAAATTATTCACCGAAGCTGAGCCAACGAAGCAGTTGCATCACCCGAAGCATGCATTTGATCATTTAAAACTAAATTTCCGCACATGGAAAAAACCCAGCCCAATAATAATATTCTTTCATTCGCCAACAATAACAAGCCGCTGGCTCTCTCTCGCACACACGAAAACATCTCCCGTTTCAGGGCAGGGGCTGGCGGTCGGCGCGTTTCTCTCAGCCAGCTAACCACGGCCTCTCCCCCTTCTGCGTCCCGACCCCGACCCGACCCGCGCGGTTACCTGTGTGGGTCCTTTTGTGGATCTTGAGGTTCTCGGAGCGCGCGAAGACCTTGCCGCAGCCCGGGAAGGGGCAGGGGAAGGGCTTCTCGCCGGTGTGTACGCGGATGTGGTTGACCAGTTTGTATTTGGCCTTGAAGGGCTTGCCCTCGCGCGGACACTCCTCCCAGAAGCAGACGTGGTTGCTCTGCTCCGGGCCGCCGACGTGCTCCACCGAGACGTGGGTCACCAGCTCGTGCATGGTGCTGAAAGTTTTGTTGCAGCTCTTCTTCGGGTTGCTCAGCTGCTCGGGGTCGATCCACTTGCAGATGAGCTCTTGCTTGATGCACTGCTGCCGCATGTAGCGGAAAAAGGCACCAGGGTGGTGGTGGTGGTGGTGGTGGTGGGCCGCGGCCGCTGCCATGTTCATCCCCATGTTCATATTCATGGGGCCGTACTGGTTGTGGAGCTGCGCCGCCGAGTAGGGGTCGGTCCGCGGGCTGGCCACCTGGCGGTACTGCTCCGAGCGCCCGAACACCTCGCCGGGCAGCCCGAGGCGCATCTGCCCGTTGAGCACATTCTGCGAGCCGTGAGGCCCGTGCTGCTCCGGGAGACCGGGGAAGAGGAGGTGGCCCTGCGCGTCCGAGTGCGCGTGGTGCAGGCCGCCGGCCCCCGGCCCGAACAGCCCGTGCTGCCCGCCGCCGGGCGCCGAGTCGCCAAAGCCGCGGCTGCGGAACAGGAAGTCCCGGGTGGAGTTGAAGGGCGGCCCGGAGTAGGAGCCGACATGCGCGGCGTGCGGCCCGAGCGCGGCGGCAGCGGCGGCGGCCGCGGCGGAGCCGGGATAGGCGCCGGGGCCCTGCGACGTGAACGCCGAGCTCTGGCCCGGGGACAACTCGTGCGCCCCGGGGTTGAGCTTGAAGGCGCCCATATGAGCGGCCGCCGAGTCCACGAAGCCGTTCTGCGCCGCCGCCAGGCTCAGTTCGCGGTCTTGCATCTCCGCGGCCGCGGCGGCCGCCGCCGCAGCCGAATGATGATGGTGGCGCGCGAAGCTGCCCACCCCGATGGCCGGGAACTGCGGCCCCGCGTCCAGGAGCATGGCCAGCGCGCCCGCCCGCCCTGCCGGCCCCGGCGAGCCCCGCGCCTCCTTGGCTCCCACTCCCGCCCCGCTCGCGGGGCTGCGTCCTGCGGCCGCCCGGCTCCGAGCGCAGGCGGCGGCGGTGTTGGCGGCGGCTTCAGTCCCGCGAGCGGCGCTCCTGCGCCCGCCGCCTCCGCCGCCGCCTGGATGTGCCTCGGGCGGCCGGGCGCGGAGCGAAGGCGCGGAGAGGAAGAGGAGGAGGCGGCGGCGGCGGAGGAGGCGCGGGAGGAGGAGGAGGAGGTGGTGGTGGAGAAGAGTCCAAAGCCAGGCGGAGAACCAAAGTGTATTAAAGGAGCTGCGGCGGGGGCGGGCGGGCNCGCCCCCGCGTCTCCCTCCCCGGCCTCCCTCCTTCGCGCTCCCGGCCGGGCCTCCTGCTCACACCGCCCCTTTAGGGGCGGCTCCCGCCCCACCAGCCCGCCCGGCGCCGCCATTGGTCGCTGCCGCGCCGTCAATCCAGAGCCCCCGCCCCGAGGCGGGCCCGCCCCTCCACCCGGGCGCCGCAGCAGCTTTCAGCAGCCCCAGCCGCCGCGGATGGTGGCAGCCCGCCGGGTCGGCCGGCCTCTCGCTCCGCGCCCCCGTGCGCCTGGGCGCGACGGCTCCTCGTCCTGCGGGCTGAGGCGCTCCCCGGAGCCCGCCGGCCGGCCGAGGGAGGGCCTGGGCCGCGGGGAGCCGGGATGGGGTGGGGTCACAGCGCCCTTGGTTGGGCTCCCTGTGCCCACGCCCTCCCGTAGAGGCCACCATTTCTCCGGGGACCGAAAACGGGCAGTCCTGGTTGCTCGAGAACGCGGGTAGCGACCGGGCCTGCGAGGTGGGAGGTTCTGTGCGCCAGGAGGCTACAGCCCCGGTGCCCCGCCGGGAGGGCGCGCGGCCCAGGGGCAGATCTCCGGACGTGTTGGCACGCTCCTGGTCCGCGCCCACCTCCCCAACACACACTTTTGTCGACTTGTCCTGGGGTAGTGAACACACAGGTGCAGGATGGGTGGCGGGGGGGGGGGGCGGCTAGAGAAAAACAGACGTGCCCTTCCCTCTCACCCTTCTGGACACTCACCCAGATGCCGCCCCCTCCCCGGCCGCGGCCCCCACCCCTGCGCGCACTCGCGCGCGCACGCACTCAGTCGCTCGTTCGTCCGCCCGCCCCGCGGCACGGCAGCGCGAGCGGCGCCTAGCAAGCAGAATGCGGTCGCCTCCGCGGCTGGGCCGAGGTGCCCGAGCGCGCCGCCGCGTGCGGCACGGGCAGGCGAGTGAGGCGAGGACCGCGGAGCCCTCGGAGGTTCGGCGGCCCAGTCCGGCGGGGCCCGCGGCTCTACCTGGCCGCGGCGGGGGCGCTGGGGGCGGCGGACTTAGGCCGGGCTCCCTCTTCGCGGCGCGCTCGCTCGGCCGCTCCCTCCCCCGCGGCCCTGCCCGCGCCGCCCCGCGCGCGGCGGGTATTGTTTGGCTCGGCGGCCGCGGTGTTTAGCCCTCCGCGTCCTCCGCGCTTGGCATTGGCTGCGCCTCGCGTAGTAAACTTGCGAGCGGCCCCGAATTCCCCCAGATGAAGGAGGCTGCCGCGCAGCTCCGTCTTTCTTTAAGTTGTGCGGGAGGAGGAGGCGGGGGAGAAGGGGGGCTGTGGGAGGGGAGAAGGAGGGGAGGAGGGGGAGGTGGACTCAAAAACAATAACAATACAAAAAAAAAAAAGTGTTCTCCAGCTCGCGCGCTCGCTCCCTCTCTCTCGCCTATCGGCCCGGGGAATCCGGGCCCGGAGGGGCGGCCGCACCCGCCAGGACCGAGCGGAGTTCGGAGCGAGTGCCTAAGCGAAGGGCGAGGTGCGTGTCCCCGCTTCGGGCTGCGGTGGGCTCAGATCGCCACCGCCTCCGCCTCTGTTTATTTCATGGGGCGCCGCCAGAGTCGCAGCCTTTTTATTTATTTATTTATTTTTTGTCGTCTCCTTTTCCTCTCCCCTCCCCCTCGCCCCCGCGTCTCCCTCCCCGGCCTCCCTCCTTCGCGCTCCCGGCCGGGCCTCCTGCTCACACCGCCCCTTTAGGGGCGGCTCCCGCCCCACCAGCCCGCCCGGCGCCGCCATTGGTCGCTGCCGCGCCGTCAATCCAGAGCCCCCGCCCCGAGGCGGTGGCCGCGGCCCCCACCCGGCGCTCGGCGCACTCCACTCCCCCCGCCGCTCGCGTCCCGCTCTGATTACGGCTGTAAACACTGGGCAGCGGCCCCCACGAGGGAGGGGGTTGTTTGGAAGCGGTTTAAAGACAGTGTCACCCTGGGGGTGGGTGCCCAGAAGCCCGGGCCTCTGCCACTGTCGGGTGGGAGGTGTGGGGACGCCGGAGGCGCCCGGCCAAGCGAGGCTCAGGCTGGAGTTCGGCCGAGGGTCAGGCTCATCAGAGCCTCCGAAAAGAGCTCCAGACTGGTAGAGCTCAAACCTAGAAGATATTTATCAATCCATCCTTCTTCAGAAGCGAGGAACCCCTCCACCCGCGCCCTCCGCTCTAGGCGATGGCGGGCCCCGAGGCTGCTCCCTGGGTCCCAGGTCCTCGGTTGGCCGCTGAGGATGTTTCCCGTTCCGCCGCCGAAAGCTTGCGCTCTGGAGGTAACCGGAGAGGAAGCGATGGGCCCCGGAGGCTAAGGAGGTGCGAATGGAAGGCCTGAGGCCAGCGCCTTTCTTCGCCTAGCTAGCAAAGAGAACTGCTTTAAAAAAAAAAAAAATCTCTAGGAGTTGAAATAAAATTCAAGGAAGAGAAAATAACACGCATTTCAAAATATCAAGTTGAAATTAAAGCCACAAAAATTTAAAAAAACGCGGGAAGAGAACTCCAGCAGGCAGAACCGGGCCCTTGCGCTCGTACAACAGCGCAAGCCTCTGCCGGCTTGAGCAGGTCCCTAAAGGTCCGAGCTGACCGCAGCCCCGCGCACAAGGGGCCCGGTGCCCTCCCGCTGCCCGCCGTCCCTGCCCCTGCCCCGGGGCTGGGGGCAAGGAGGAGGGAGGCCCGGGCATCTTGTCTGAAAGCCCGGGATTTTGCTCGGAAGCTGGGGCTTCTCGACTTTTCTGAAAGAAGCAACTGTTCCTCCTCTGCGCACACCTCTCTCTCTGTCAGGGGCGAGGGGAAGGCAAATGCCAAACTGCCCCTCGAGGCAGAGGGGGACCAGGGAGAGAGACAGAAATACGCCAGGCAGAAAGGCTGCCCTGCTGCAGTGAATCTGCCCAATGCACAGCCTTTCACACTTGTTTCCCGTATTCATCAATTTGTATGTGTGTGGGGGGGGGAGAAGAATTGGCAAAGCTTACCCCGAAAGTATTTCCCAAAAAAAATATTTTCTTAGAAATACTGGTCCTGAGAATAGCAATCCTGCACGTCCGCAAACCTCACTCTTCCTTCTTCCAAACCATCAGACTTCTCCAAGTTTTCCTTCCTTCCTACGGGCTCGCCCCCGCGCCCTCCTCTGCACCCCCCCCTCCTCCCAGCCCCGTTCTGTCCTTTCTCTTGGATTCCCCCTTCGCAGGGCCCGTTTCGGGCCGAAGCCGCTGGGCGCTCGCGGGCCCAGGGTCCGGGGGCCGCGCGGCCGGGCGGTGGGACGCACGGCTGATCCCCACCGGGGACCCCGCGGCCTGGGCGCTCCTGGTTCTTCGTTCCCGGCTCCAGTTCACCTCTCTCTCTGCAGGACACGCAGGAGCTGAGCCAAGTTCAAAGTCACGTCGCCGTCTCCTCTTAGAAGTGCTTTATTTCTCCACAAACCGCAAAACCCCTTCGCTTCAAGATACAGGTGTTTTGTTTTGTTTTGTTTTGTTTTTTTAAGGAAGGAAAGGGAAGAGAGATCAAGAAAGCAAGGGACAGAGAGAGTGAAAAAGAAAAAAGAAAAAAAGAAAGAGACCTACAAAGTCTTTCAGAGTCATTGCCTCCAAAGTACCTTTGAGGTCCTTGGCAGAAGGAAAAAAAGCCGGTCGACTTCCGCGCCCTGCGAGTGAAATTCAGTTTTTTCAACAGGTTTCTAGAAGGGCCCGCCGTGTTGGTGTCAGAACCCGGGGACCCCCAACCATCTCCATCGGGCAAACGTTTGCTCTCTTTGTAAGTTTTCCAAAGTTGGGCTTTTCAGATGTCCTGGGGCCAGCGCAGGGCTAGGCCAGCGAGACTCCAGGCTTCGCTGTATATGGATAGTTCAGGGCTGGCGACCCTTTCCCCAAGTGGAGAGAATGGCAGTGTAGTAGAGAATTCGGATTGTCTTAAAAAAAAAAAACACCAAAACAAAACACAAGAACACCAGTAAATCCCATCAAACACCCGGGCAGTCATTCACTGAACACCTCATTGCGGTTTGTGGGCCTCTGTAAACGGGTGATTGGCTTCTTTTTTAGTATGCTGAGTATTTTGTGTAGATATGTCTAAAAATGCGGAGGCACACACAGGGTACTCACATGCTCAGGTATATCTTGTTGGCCAGAAGAAGCCAAAAACAAACAAGCAAACAAAAGGCATCTTTATATGGAAAGCAGAAACATTGGGTGAACATACCACTCAACCTTCTAATTTTCCTCTTAAGGGAAAAGATGGAAATGGAGAAGAGATGGGAGAAAAAATGTGGAATCGACAGTCCATATACACTGGGCCAAAAAAGGGGGGGGGGGGGGTTTCACAGGATTTCAGCACTGTCCTCTGTATCACAGACACTCATAAATTCAACAAGATCATCAACAGGATATTAAGTTGCAGGTCACCTTTGATTCAGCCTCTCAGTCACTCCTGGGCTAGGCGACCCCTGACCCTTGAAGGACCGCATGTGTGGTGGGGGACCCCCTCCCCTGTAAAACCAATCTAGAACAAAAGAGCTTTGTCCGAGGTTTAGAGAAGTGTAATGTAAAAGAAGGGGAAATCTGTAATGTAAAAGAAGGGGAAATTGTGAAAATCTCAGCCAATGTTGTAACTTTTAAATACCATTTTTTAAGAAGGGGGAGATTTAGTGGAAGCAGAGAGTATCAGGGGATAAGGCCCTCTCTAGCC